CAGGAAAATGAGTAATTATATACTGCTATATTTAATGTGTGTGTGCTCACCCTGTACAAGCCACTTGCATCTAGATTCTCAGTCATACATACACAAATATATGTATTGTCAATGCAAAGGTTGAAAATGATGTGACTTACCAGGACTTCTCAGAACATCACAGATGTGAACCAATGTAACTCATGACACCTGCAGGATAAATAGATTATTTCCTGGGACTTCTGCATTTTCATACCCAAAGATCTGTGCTTTCACATCTCTAAACTGAAACAAGAAAATGCTTTTGGTGCAGTGTAATTAAGCGCAGATTTTAAGTGCTTTGGGATTTGTTGGATTTGACAGTGCTACGTAATTGTAAGATCACTATTGTACACAAATCTTATATCATTGCAAATGGTTAGTACTTTTAGTAAGATTTCATTGTGTTGTTTTTTTTTCTTTTTTTGTTATAAGACAATGTCAGTGTATATATTTATCTCGTAAGTTAGATTTTTAAGCTATTTAAAGCTTATATTTACAAAAAATGTTTTCTATTTATATGATATCATGAAAGATAAATGACATTATTGGTCATGGAGCATTAACGCATAACCAAACAGGCAAATCTATTTTAAAATACTATTTCTATAGCATAACCCAAAATGCATTTTAATTTTAATTATTTCAAAAAAAGTTTATTTATGTCTACATTTCTAAAGCAGCTTCCTACTTTCGTTGACAAAAATGTAACTTTCTTCACATTGTATCAAAATTGTCTGGTTTCCATTTTAAGCTTCTTTTCAACATTCTGTCATATTTGCAAGGATTTTCCAGGATGGATATCAGTGCTGGGCAAAATCAGGCAGAAAGTTGCAACAAAGTACTACTCTGCTGTTTTTTTGCCTTTGTGTCTTTAAACTTCTCCCATAATCAGCAATGTAAATACATTTCAGGAAAGATTCATTCTTCTTTGCTCACTGTTATGTGTTGTGGTTTAACCCAGTAGGTAGCTAAGCTCCACAGTCATTCACTCACACCCCCCACCTCCCAGTGGAATGGAGGAGTCAGAGAAGAAATGTGAAGTAGAACTCATAGATTTTGAGATAAAATCTATTTAATAAAAGGGAAAAAGAAGTGGAGAAAATAGTAATGATAATTTTTGTATATTTATATATACATATATGTACATCATATACATACATATATATACATATACACACACACATATGTATGTATAAAACAAGTGATGCACAACACAATTGCTGGTCACCAGCCAAGTGATAGCCAGCCAGTATCCAAGGAGTGGCTGCCCACCCCTGTCAACTTCTCACTGTTTTTCAAGGTTTTTTTTAGCATGACATCATATGGCATGGGATATCCCCTTGGCCAGCTTAGGTTGTCTGTCCTGGTTCTGTTCCCTCCCAAATCCTTGTGCCCCTTTACTCTCTGTAACCATCAGGGCAGTCTGAAAAGCTCAGATATCTTTGGCTCTGTGCAGCACTGCTAGAACTAAAACATTGGTGTGTTATCAACATTGTTTTTCTCCAGAAGCCAAAACATAGCATTAAATAAGACACTATTAAGGAAAAATCATCTCTGTCCTAGCTGAAACCAGGACATTATGTAATGGTGAAAATAAGAGTTTGCTTGGAAATGTTCTCATTAAAAATACAGCGAAGTTTAGGCAGAAAGATAGATGTGTAAAGCAGTCATCCTAGGCTTCTCTTAGCATCAGTAAGAAACGGGGATGGTTACACTAACTCTAAGTGACCAAGACAGGTCAGATGAATTACTGTTCGTCTTTACCTGATCCTGAATCTTGACATCAGGAGTTATTCCTAGCATGATAATTTACTACAGATTTTTCCCTGTGTCACCGTTTCACATAAAAGTTTGGGTTAGAAGAGAACTTACAGATAATCTACATTCATTCTCCTGTCAGGTACAGGACACATTCCACTAGATCAGGCTGTTCAAATCTCCATCCAACCTGGCTTTGAACACTTCCAGTGAGGGGGCATCCAAAACTTCTCTGGCAAACCTAGTCCAATGCCTCACCACCCTTACAGTAAAGAATTTCCTCGTAATATCTAGTCTAAATCTATCCTCTTCCAGTTTTGGAATGACTTGGGTTTCAGTTTCTTTTTTGTCATATCTACATGGAGTAATGAATCTGCTTTCCTAATGACTGACAAAAAAATGTCAAAAAATGAGGGAAAAATGCTGGAGACTGTGTGGAACAAAGATAATGTGGAACATTTGGGGAAATATTGCATTCCTTTGGCTACCCAATAGAAGTGATACATCCAGGCAATGATTTTTGGGCAGATATTTGCTCAAAGCCCTGGCTGTGTGGGATGATACTTCAGCAATTCTACTGATGGAAGGAATAATTTGAATTTGTGTCACTACAGGCAGTGTCAGCTGAGTTAGATGATATTACGACCATTAACTGCGTAATCTAATTGAGCTGAAATGTGTACCACTGGCTTTGGGGTTACTCACCCAAATTGTCAGAGAGCTTTGGAATCCTCCACACTTGTACTTTCAGGTGTCTTGGTAGTGACTTTTCATTATAGCCAGTTAAGTGTTTATAACATCTTTTAGATTTGGGCTTTGTCACTTGAATTCATGTTTTGTGAATAGACTACAGACATTTAACTATGCTAAGATCATAAAGATGACAGTATTTATAAATTAGAAACACTCTCATGAGTTCGTGTTGAACTGTTTACTTTGGGTTTTTTAATATTGATTTTGACAATCTTAGAAAATTTGTCAGCAGTTAAACTCAAATTATTGAACTTGTGTACACGAATGTGCAGACCATTTAAAATATGACATGTACAAACACGATGTCATATTTGTTTCTCATTTGTTAGATTATTTATGAGATTATTTTGTTTTCAGCAGTTACTATTTCCCAATTTACAATAGTAAGTTAACCCTTATAATAGCTTTATGCAGTGTCCACTGTAATTAGAGTAGGACTCACATTGACTCTCATTTTTTTTCTATTACTACTAAATATGAAATTTCTGTTTCATATTATTTCAATAAGCAAAAATAGTTTATTACTGTAGGAAGTCCTTAAACGTGTCTGGAGTAAATATGAGTTTACTTTTGTAATATAGTTATGCTACCATTGAAACAAAGAAAATCTAATGTTGAATCTGCAGTGCATGCTGTAATACTTGTCAGTTTTCCTCTCAGGAATGAAACAAAGGTGCTTAACATAGAAATGTACTTAGCTTTCAAATCCTGAATATTAAACATATCTTGTTCTTGAGTAACACTCATCTGAATTCCAAACATTCTCTTAAAAAGTATTTTCATTGAGAGATCAAATATTTAATCAGATTTTCAAAACTGACTCGATGTTTCAGTTTCTAATGGTACTTAAGATTTCTCAGTTCTTTTATGTAAAAGACATCTACAATTTATTTTAAAATGAGCATGTTATTTAAGTGTTTTCAAAAAGAATTCTGAATGTTTCATTCCATTCTGGGCTAATAGGAGAATGTAATACAAACTATGCTCTCAGAAAATTTCGTAGAATTACTATTACAACAATAAAGCTTGTTTTCAATTTAAGAATTATTAATAAAAATATTGTAAGCAATACCACTTGATAATTTCATACTAAGCAAATCACTGGGAAAATGTCTCAGTTGAGAACAACTTATGGTGAGGCTTACAGTCTGTACAAGAAGACAAATGAGCAGAATATTATAAAAGATGGTTCCCAGTAGAAATTTAGTTGGTATCTCAATGACATATCTGTAAAATCCTAGGGTGCTTCAAGATGTATGTTTAAATCTGTAAAAATTAGTTTTCTTCTTGACCTGTTGGATGCAAACGCAGTTTCTGAGTCCTCTTATGTTGGCCTCAAAAGTAAAGTAAAAAGGTCTTTATAGCCTGTATATGCATTATGAAATTAAAAAAAAAAAAAAAAAAAAAAAAAAAAGGTTGATTTGCATTCCTATTCCCTTGTAATTTTTTTTTTTTTTCTGAATGTCGACTTGGGAAAACATTGATATATTATGCAGTGTTCAGTCATGAAATATTTGTTATATGGTCATAGAATCTTAGCAGAGCCTGAACTGTACATTACTGAATGTCTACAAAGACTGCTCCAAAAGTAATGCCTTCTATTTTATTATGTTGGCCCATGAAATCAGAGGCGGATGTTGGTGATACGACAGTGGAGGTTGAACCTTCCAACCAGTATCCCATTACATTTTGTTGCCGGTTGACAGATGGCAGCAGATAGAAGTCTGTCCAACCAAACATTGAGGTGGTGGCTAGTATGTTTCAGCAGTGGTGGCAGCAACAGTATGTTGCTTCTGCTGGTGAAGATTTTTACAGTACAGCGTGCTGTTGGTCATATCTGGTAAAAATGCATAGCTAATGGTGGTTACTATCTTGAAAAATAACGTTTTGTAGCTGAGGATTTGCTCTGTAACATAGAGTGATTGTGCTCTTTGTATCCGTTGTAGTTTTTGTGGAAATAAATAGGAGGCATTACTTTTGGAGTGACCTACATATGTATTTATAAATTGTCTCATAAATGTAAAATAATTCAAAGTAATATTTGGATAATTATCTAGAATCCATAGAATTTCTGGAAGTAGCTGAAAATCAGCAAGGTTATTTTTACCTTTCACCTAATTCATGTTTTAAATGCCATTGTGCTAACCCTGTACTTGGAAACTACGGCATAAAAAATTTAAAAAATAGACACTGCAGGCCATACTCTGCTGTCTTTCTGCAGCTGAAACCTCTACAAGTTTAACTTGGAAACCTGCTTGGGGAACAGTGGCATACTTTGACCCTTCTCTTTCATTGCAGTTTAATATTCCATAAGTGTCCCTATAGAAACATATATGCAGTTCCTTCTAGAGAGCATAACTTCTTCAAAGTTTATTTATTCTAACAGTGTTTTTTGTTGTTGTTGTTGTTTTTGCTTTGTTTGTTTTCTTTCTCCCTTTTCTTTTTCTTTCCTCCAACTCCTCCTTAAGCTATCTAGCAGCATTTTGGATATATATAACAGTGACCAGGGAATGGCACCAGCTAATATGAGTCTCACAACTGCTTCTTGTCCAGCTAATCTACCAGTAAAAAGGGAACTCACAGGTAAAAGAACTCTGATATTTTAACATTTTACAATTTCAAAAGTGATGGTGTTTCTCTTAAAAGCTGAAAAAAAGTTCAGAAGTTCATTTCCTGAGAATTTTTCAGTGTGCAGTTTCATTTATGGAAAAGGACGACGGCCGTGGAGAAATATTTTCTCTCTGTTCTTCTCTTTAGCAATTCTGAAATGTTTGCTCTATAGTTCTTATGAATATCGTGCTTCTAATAAACCTAATTATTTTGGGAAACAGTGAATTCTTCTACATGTTGGCTCCTGATCAATGGTATAAATAAATTATCATCCATTAAATTTGTTCCAGAGTAAAACAAATGGTTCTTTTAAAAGCTCACAATAAGGCTATTCAAGGTAAATTTATGTTAGTGGATTAACAACTTTGAACGTTACATTCAATTAATCCAAAGAATGCTAACAACTGTGTACAGTTTATTAGTGTCACTCAGAGGAAACAGTGAGCTTGTTCAATATGTGTTATCTTAGAAATCTTATTAACTCTTGCATTATGGGATATGCAAATCCATATTCACATTAGTGTACTGTTTTATCCTGGTGTAAAAGTACAGAAAATTGGAGAAAAATAGTCCTCCATTTTTATATTCTTAAATAAAAAATCTTCCTTAATGAATATCTTAAGTAACCTGCCAGACTTAGCTCAAAAATTGAATACTGGTAGAATATAGATTTGCTTAAGATTTTGTTTAATAATAAAAAGATTAATGAAGTAAAATGACTAAAAGTCTGCTTTTTGTGAAAAGAGGCCATTTTTAAATGGTGATAGGATACAGGACTTGCAATTTAAGGGCTGTTTAATAAATGTTACTTTCTGTCAGAAGCAGATACGCGAGCAATGGCCAAGGAGAGACAAAAAAAGGATAATCACAATCTCAGTAAGTATACGTGCATCTTCCATCTTGTTAGAGTGTATGGGAACCAGTGTACATTAGCTACCATACCTCTGCTCATTGCATCTTACCAGGGTTGTCAAATTTAACTTAGTCTGTGAACAGTCAACTACACAGCTTTCTTCCCCAAACTGAAGTTGTCTTTTACATTTTTCTTTCAATATACCTTATACAGTATTAATGAATTTCTTTATACAACATCCCCTGTTATTTTACAGTACTGTTGTATATATATCCTGTGCATATACATTTTACTTGATTTATTTAAGAATTAAGGTGCAAAATAGGCAAGAAAATAGGCAGACAGTGAAAAAGAAAACATAGCAGAAATGATCCAGGCTCCTCACTTGTTACTTACTGAAACATCCAAGTGAGAGACTGCATCTCTCTATTGGTAATTGGAAGAGAAAAGTAATCATTCAATCAATCAAATATAAAAAAAAAAATTTATAAACTAGCTGGTGTAGTGAAGCAGGTAAAGCTATGGAAACAATACATTGCAGAAGGAGATCAGAACAGAACTGGATGACACAGTGCTCTGACTGCTCTGAGATAGTTTAAGCTTAAAACAGTGAATTTCATAGTTCAGTGTTTAAATATTAAACTTAAAAACTAAACAACATTTTTAAAAGTCTAGAATAGATAAATATACTCTTATTGCTGAAAGAGAAGTGCCTGTAAGATTGGGTGATTTTTCCCTCTAAAGAGTCATCTAAAGCAAAAATCTGAAGTATTCTCTCTGAAGAGTGTTGAATAAAACAGTAATATTCTCTAGTTCTCCTTTATACTTCTGACAGAAATAATTCATGAATTACCTAAATTGGTGATTTGATAAAGTGGTAATCACCACTAATTATATCTTTCTTCTCTGGCTATTCCAGTGACATTGGAGAGATTTACAACTTTAGTTGCATGTGCCTGAAAGTGTACATACACTGGTACACTGTGCTGGCAAACAGTGCAACAACTTCCTACTACTTTGATTCTCCAGAAGGCATCCTTGTTTCTGTCCGCACATTTTTAGTGGATCACAAACAAGCCATGTAGATTTTTTTGTTTGTTGTGGGCACATCTTCTCTGAATTACCACAGTATCTGCTGCTGGTCTTGTTTGGGTAGGAATAGAGAGTTTTGGCTGGCCTAGGAAAGGTGGTGGTGGTTAGGAGTTGTCTGGAACTGCCAGAAGAACAAGACAGTTGCAAGCACACATTAGGGATAGCAGGTATTACGATTTCCTCCACAATTTGTTTATTTTTTTTTTTGCTCTGAGGTCATCCTTTCTGCAATAAAGGTGTTTGTGAAATGTCCTTCAGTGCTAGAAAGTGAGATGAAGACAGTATGCCAGGATCATGGCAAGCAGACTCATGACATCGCTTCTAGTTAGGCTCCAGGTGCATATTTCAGAGCTCAAAGTCTTTCTGGAGATAGCTCTGCTATATGAACACTTGAACATATTAGCACGTTACCTGTAGCACATTTATTAGCATCATTACCTATTTTTGTTACATTAGAGATGGTGAGAAAAATCAGTTTTTGGAACTTGATCAGAATTATACCGATGTTCATCATAAAGGTCCACACTTCAGAGAAATGTTCTTAAACTTTCCTTTTGAAATATTAGATTCTCAATGGAACTGTGAAGGGAATTAGATCTAAGAAATTGAACCCTTCTTTATGCAATTACAACAATTTAAGCCATTACTTTTTTTTATTATTATTTAACAATCAAAAGTATTAAAGCTTTTATGTTTTTTTGCTATCTGATTATCCTTGTATATGTACTTTCATTTCTTTATTGTTATTTTGGCTTTGGTATAATTTGCTGCTTGAGATTTTTTTTTGTAACCCAGTATATCACTGAAATTGTGACAGGAATTAATCAGGAAAAATATTTCAAAATTTCCAAATTTCAGAATTTCCCTTCTGATTCACTAGCATAACCATGTGAAATTTATTTGCAGGAAATAAATAAAATAGAAAGAAAAAGAAAGAGTCTACTTCCATTGGAATTTTTTTTTTCTTTTTTTTTTTTTAAGTAGCCAGTGTTCACTATTTTTGATGTGTCTCTTTCAGGACTTTCCCACACTATAAATGTGAATTAAACTGCAACTCCTAAGCTGTAAAACTGCATGTTTAATATACATTCTTTTAACCTCACTATAACTAAAGACATCATGTTGTTCAATTGCTGTATGCTTGAATACACTGTGTTCACCTAACAGATCCAGCGTGTTTATGCCAATGGGTTGAAAGGGATAACAACAGTACATTCAGATGGACTATAATCCTACCCCCTGAATATGGAAATTTCAACTACAAAGATTGAAATGCTTTAATCTGTAAAGCAAAATTCCTGTTTCTAGAGAGAGAAAAATGTTGATACGTTTTGCCAAGAGCATTTCAGGAGGGTAAACAGTAATGTCCAGGCAGGTTTGAACTGGAGTCTGTGAGGGAGAAAGTAGCTGAGTGACACACAAGCCTAAAAGGCTTGCACGGGCGGGCAAGAAGGAAGATCTCTATGTTCTGGGAGAAGGAAAGGAATAAAAGTGAACTACGTGGTGGAGCTGAATCTGCAAGTGATATACAAATATGACTGTGAGAGGTTGAAGTCAGCCTAGGAAGACCCACCAGGCGTCTCTTGAGTGCAGTCTTCTAATTCAGCTGTCCTGGGTTCTAAGGATAGGATTTTTGTACAGGCATTCAAATTAAGGCATTGAACTTAAAGTGCGCATCTCCATGTATGAATGTAAAGGAACATTTAGCATTCTGCTTGTGCTTGGGTCATTTCTGGTCTGGTGGAGGGTAGTGGTATTAGCATTTTGAGCTCATGGAAAGGTTGTCCAAAAAATGGGGAGCATCAGAAACTGCTGTGAAATGAAAGTGGTGGGCTGAAATTGAATCTACCTATTCAGTGCAGCCTTTATTGGGTCCAAGTACCATGTGAAGAGAGAAGATAGAAGTGCAAGATCACACCAGTAGGACGTTCACAAATACCACAGCCATACTCCTTGTAGTATCTGTCATTCTTCCTCCTCATTTTTTTTTCTTTATTTTTTGTTTCCTGATAGAAAAAGTATAATTTGCTATTCTTCTAGGATTTCCATGCTATCTCTCAGTTTAGGCTACCCTGGAGCTGGAAGTCCTGAGTAGCTGGCCATTCCACGTACAACAGGATCTGCATTAAAGCACATGAACCAATGATGTTTCTAATCTCTTAATTTCAGCCTCATAATTGTCTTACTATGTTATCTAGATTGTAACAGACTTACTGCATTTACAGGACGTTTGTTTAACATCTCCAGTATGTCCTAGGTATTTTATTTCCTCACTGAATATACTTTCTGTGTCACAATTATGTACCAGAAATCCCCCAAAGGTTATTTTGGGCCACTGAAAAATATGATATTTCTACATATCTATGTGGAGAAAACCTTGCGAGAATGCAGGGGAGAAGTCTCTCTACATTAGTTAAATGGAGGCAGAAAAGTGACAGGACTTCTGTGTGCTCCATTCTGGATTCCAATATTTCAAGAAACCAGATTGAGAGCACAAAGAGGGAGAACTACTTCTAAGAATCACAGAATTACAGAATCATAGAATGACTGAAGTTGGAAGGGACCTAAAAAACTTATCTTCTTTTTATCTTTCTAACTAAACTGGAAGTAAATAAATATTTTTTTTTTTTTTTTTTTTTTTTTTTTTTTGCATAGCAAAATTCAATTTAAATATAATTTTTTAATTGTTCAAATAGTGTTTTTCTTCATTTTCTGAATGTTATTGTAAAATTTATTCTAAATATTATTGTGTTGTCTATCACCAAAGGAAACAAAATTTCTGGGTATTAAATGTTTCTGGAGCATAATGAAGAGGGATGGCTGTATAAGTCCTCTCCATGGTTTAAAATGCTGTAGATAAGAGATAACAAAGCTGTTAACCATGGTCTGTAGCAAGAGTTCTAACAAAATGTGAATATTTCACCATTAAAATAGTAACTTTAGTTTCTTTTTAACAGTTGAGAGAAGAAGAAGGTATAACATTAATTACCGAATCAAGGAGCTTGGCACACTCATCCCCAAGTCTAATGATCCGTGAGTTCAACAGTCTTTCCTATAATAATGTTTATCATTTAAATACAGGAAAAAAAATCATAGTTGCATACTGGCCGTAGGACTGACTGATGTAATACAAAATGGTTTGTGCCAGGCCACTAGCTTGAATCAGTCTGTTAATGGCAAACTTCTGTCAGATTTCTGGTGCCTGTTGGGAAAACTTACGTGAAAGGATAATAAAATAAAAACAGTACTGGTGTGTCACACACCAGGAAGATGGAGTGGGGAAAAGATAAGCCAAAAACACCACAAGTCTGTGTGATATCTCTGGAGAAGGAAGGAATGATGCTTTCAGCCCTCACCATGGGCCCTCTAGTGGGGTAAGACAAAATATGTGCTGTCACTATCTGCCCTTTGGCTAAGCAAAATAAATAAATAAGCAAACAAAATATTAAAATTCAGGTTAAGAGACTGCACACTGGGCATTTTTCAGAAGTATTCCAGTCAGTGCAGGAGAAAAAAGTCCTGAAAAGCAAGGCTAAAAATAATAATTGCTATAATAATAGCAATTTATACTAATGCGTATACTTACAGTAATACAAAATGTACATTTCTTAAACTGTATCTGCATTTCCTTCAAGCTTATATTTGTCATCAATATGAAAAAAAAATCTGCCTCAGTAGGAAATACTATTGTACGATTAGCAGTAGCAATTCAGTGGGTTATTTAATGCTAGACTTCAGCTTTTGATATTTTATGTCGCTCAGGGAAGACTTAAGACCATGTTTGCATTTTGCATAAAATTGATTATACACATTTGTTCTTTATCATTTGCATGTCAGTACAGACCTGCACTATACTTCGAAGGAAAACATCTATTGATATTTCAGCTTTTTGTTTTCTTCCGGACTAAGAAACTTTTGATTATATTAAGGATTTCTATAAGACTATAAAACACTGTAAGACTTAGATATAGACAAGATTGGCAAAACTAGACATTTTGAGTGAAATCATCAGAGAGAAAGTTAACATGTCATTACTCTTTGAGAGAATTCACTTTTCATTCTACAGCATCCATTCAAGATTAGATAAATAGGCACATTCTTGTTATTAATATAGATCTGAGTGTTACAGAGTGCTAAAATAAGAAGTACTTTAAGTGTCCACACATAAATTTTTGGATGCTTGTGATCACCTGCAAACAAACACTGGTAAAAGAATTTTAATTTTGCTGGCGTATCTTTCAGTATTCAAGGCCATTTGGGCAAATTATTGAAAGATTTCTCAGAAAAACAGTGGATGGCACTGTTGGTTTGCAGCTATAAAGTGATAATGGAAGCAAGTTATATTGCAATTAGAAATGAGCATGAGGTACAATTTCTAGTTGTAGTTTTGATTACCTACAGAGATGCTTCAGCTACATGTTTTTGGTCTGGATTCCAGTTTTAATTTGTTCAAATTGTTAACAGTCATTTGTAATGTACTTACAATGAACGCTCCAGAACTGCAATTTTATTCCAGTAAGTGGATAATGGATTTTACTTACTGATTTTGGAGATGTAGCCTTGGATCAAAGTTTCAGAAAAATATCCTGACTGCATCAGCTTTTCTTGTTTTAGTCTCCAGTCCCACGATTGTGTCCAACAGAGCATTGGCCCTAGAAGAGCTTATGTCTGCAAAAGCAAAAACTCTAGGTTATGAGGATTGCTGTCTTCAAAAGGCTGGTAATTGGTACTACTTTTAAAAATGGGCCTATTTTAAAGTGTTCGTGTTGGTATTAAGAAGAAAGAAGCATCAAATACGCTGGACACAATGAAAGATGAAGTTATAACGTGATTTTGCTGCATTTTGGTGCTAAGTTAAATTCCTCTGAAGAAGTGTAAATACATTTTTATACATATTTGTAAGAGGAAATACATCAGTTTGACCATGTCATTTTGTTGGCTGAACAGATCAAAATTATTTATTTCTAGTATCACTCTGTGTTGCCAACTCGTAACTCAGAGTCCTTATCTTCTCTTTCAGTTCTTTCCTTTTCCCTAGAATACCTTACTGTGCCCCCAATCTGCCCTCCTCTTCTTTGAAAGAAAGATGTATCAGCTCTTACAATATTTTATCTGTAACATTTTACCACACATCACATTTTCACCTTATATATTGATTTTTAAATATTCTTCTTATATTATAGTGGGAGTATGGGTGTGAAGGGAGAAACCTTACTGATGCGTGGACTAATGATAATGAAACAAAACAGCCTTTGCATTGAAGAGCAAATACTGCTATGACTAAGTCATTGTGGTTAGCATGCCTGTCCCAGATGACTTGCTTCAATAAGATTATGTTCAGACTCAGGAGTAGAAAAGGGCATTTTTGATGCTATTTGGAAATCTTTTATGAATCATATTTCTCAGAAGTTTTTTGTTTGTTTTTATTTTATTTTACTTTTGTTAGTTATATGGTGAACTTGTTTGGCTCCTACAAAGCCTCTACAGGGACTTGCTTTTGAAAAGATAAAATCCCTATTCTCTTCTTCTCCTCTTTACTATTTTTCAATTTAATGATGATAACTATGGATTATGTTACTTGAATGAATAGATGTTTTAAGTTCACTTCATTAGCATTGGAAAATAGAGATAAGTTGGAAAGAACTTTGCTTCCTTTGTTTAATTTTCAGAGCTTAGATAGCTAAGTGATAGATGTTTCAGAAATGCAAAACTCTTGGAAAAATTTGAAGACAAAATAAAAAAAAGCCCAAAATTTTAATCATATTTAGCTGAAAAAACAAAACTTTTTTTTTTTTTTTTTTTTTTTTTTTTTTAAATTATACTCACTTTTACATTCTTGATTTCTTCATGTTTGGCCTTTCAAAATCTGGTGGCTAACAGGGTGATAGAGGGTGGGAATAACAACTCAAGAACTGTTTTAGGTAGCTAGACTGGAATTGTCAGAAATACTGAGAAAAAACATCTTTCCTTTATGAATTCTTGTCGTTCCACCAAACCAAGATGCTAAAAGAATGTCTAAGTGTTTTGGACAGAATTAGTGGATTGCTCTCACTCTGCTCTGTGCACCTGTGCATGATGTTCTGTCTGTAGTCTGTGGGCAGACCTTCTAATGGCCAGCATGGCCTCATTTCTTGTAAAGGAAAAGCTTGTGTACACTCAAGCTATTATAAAACAGAAACTTGCTGCCTCTTTCAGGAGAATACGCTTGGTAATTGTACAGGTCATCAAAACAGGTGCAAAGTCCTTCAAAGTGTTTCTTTGAACAAGCTCAGTTTAAAGCTAATTTCTCAGAAGTAGAGAAATAAATGGTCTGCAAACATAGTTTCAACTTCACAGATGTATTTGTTATTATTAACTTCTCTGCAGCTAGCAAACCCTGTGACTACTGCGCGCTCCCAAACTTTGCTTTCATTACTTAGTTTTAATCTTAGAAGATCGGGTGCTCATGTCCTTCCTCCGGATGTCCTTCAACTTGTAAAAGCTAGTGAAGCTCCTTTGACTTCAACAGAGATACTTTAATGGAAGCAATTTGAAAATTAGTCTAATGGCTGTGTTTTGTTTTTTTCTCTTCTTCTTAATGAGCAACTCTCCCAGATAAGAGTTTCACTAAATTTCTGGGCCAGATTGTTTCAGAGAGATTTAGCTGATAAACTTAAGAGGAGCTAGGGTTCAGAAACTAATAAAACACTTTGTGTATTTTACTTACTTGCTACTTTTCCATGCCAATCATATTAAGCGTGGTAGACCTATATTAATTAAATTAATGTCTGTAACTTTCTTAAAGTTTCAAATTATTGTAACATGTGGAAAGACACAAGGACACAATCCTCCTTTGCAGAGATCTCTATTGATGCTCAGACCTGTTCGACTTCTTACTGCTCTCAACTGACTTGTATCACATGTAGACTTTCCCACGTGTTCCAGTATTTACAGAACAGAGTAAAATAATACAAAACAAACAAACAAAAGATTTTTAAAGTAGGGATTGTTAAAAATAGTGAAATAGTAAATGTACATTCACACACACATGCATACACATACATATAATATCCGATATACAAATAGCAGTTGGGAATAACTCTATTCTTGCATCAGATGTGTTAGTGCATACTGACCAGTAGATATATTGTACATCACTGTTCTTTTAGCAGACACCTTCATCACTTCAGTAGAAGTGGTTCAAAGTCTTTGAAGTGATAATAACAACCACAGCATTTTAATCCTAGGTCATCATAATACTTTTGCCTCTCAAATTTTGTAAATGTTACAACCAAAAGTAACTATGTATCTCATCTTATATGATTGAATTCGTCTCTGGCAATTTGAATCTCAGAATTAGCCTTTCAGTGATAATTTAGATGATGAGAAAATTTATCATTACAATGTATACATAAAAATTCAAAGTGTCAAGGCAATATGAAATAAAACTTAGTAATATCACAAAGGTTGTCAATTATGTGTGACATTAATGAATTGCATGATAAAAAGATTTCCAATACAATCATGAATATCTGTCTTACTGATATGCCAGTCAGGAAAACTGACTGAAAAACACTTTTGTCTATATTTGGTTTTTAATTCATAGTGCTTTATAACTGATATGAACTTATGAAGTCACTATTAAATATTTGTTTGATGTGTTATTTATGTTTTCTCCTGCTGTTAGATGTTGTAAAATTTTCCATTTCATTAGCAATAGATTGATTTTATACTACTATATTTTAATGTTTAGATGAACAATTCAAAATTGGCTTAATTTGGTCTTAACTACATGCTAGGAGGAGCTGATTCCTAGTACCTACTCAGATTTTCTTCTCAGAGTTTATGCAATATGTATTTTTGTTAATGTTGCACTTATTCTAAATCGCTATGAAAATGTCCTAAATCAGTCATTTTCACTTGAAATTAAATAAAAACCTGTGGTAATTCTAAGCTCTAAATAGCATGCTTATACCTGAGATGTCACTGGAGATTCCCATCTTGAAAAGTTACTGTCTTCCTATCTTTAGGTCTTTGTTGTTGTTTAACTCAGAAGGCAGCTCAGCACCACACAGCTGTTTGCTCAGTCCCCATAGTACGATGAGGGAGAAAACAGGAAACAAAATAGAACGAATGGGTTGAGATAAAAACTTTTTACTAAGACAGACAAAGAAAAGAAATTAAATGCAATGATAAATATATATACATATATTGTCCACATAATTAATGGCCACCCACCAGCCAACACTCAACTAACTGCTGATCAGCAGCCTGCTTGCACTGCAACATCTCACCACCCTCTGACTGGTGCACAGCCAATTCCCAAGCAACATCTGCCCCCTTGGCCAACTGCCCACAGTTTTAGAGCCTTCTGCATGATGTGGCATGGAATAATCCCTGGCCTGTTTTCATCCAGCTGCCCCAACTTTGCCCTGCGCCATGTTCCCACGCCTTGTTGGTTATGGCCCCTTGTCCAAAGAGTTGCCCAGCCCTGGGCATGTGCAAATTTCTGAACCTCCATAAGGGTTTCTCATCTATGTAGTGCATCAGAAAAAGCCAGATGGTCTAAATCCCCAGGTCCCATACCTATCTACCATTTGCCCTGTACATTTGGCAGAATGACAGCTACTTTGGTGGAGGCCTTCAAGAGTTCTTTCTTACCTTTGGGATAACAGTGTAAGTTTCCTTGGCCGTTTATTTTGAGAGCCTGAATTAAAACCATAGATACTCCTACAAGAACTAAATCCATTTAGCACCACAATTTTACTTACTCAGATTGTGAATAGAGTCAAGTCTCATTAACTAAAACAACAGAATAATGGAAAGTGGTAACTGACAAGGATATAATTTATATTTCTTCTTGACTCTATAAATATCAGGGTATAAGTGTAAGTATTTGGAAGAGATACTTAAAAAGAATGCACTAAGTTGATTACTTCTCTACTCCAACCTCAGATTCTAACTAGTTTGAATATCTTTTTCCCTCTTGAGCCTGTCTTATAGGACCAAAATGTCTGTAAGTCAAGATGGTTCATTTTAAGCTACCTTGCAGTGAAATAAATAGTTTAGATTGACTCTTCTAAATTTAACGCAACACTAACTGTCCTTGTATCGTAAAATACTGAACTTTGTCAGGAATTCAAGATTTTCAACAAAATTTATTCCTATTAAGGCCTCTAATATGTTTCATGAAGGAATACATGGAAAATTAATAAGTGGATATGTGAAACTCCTTGAACACATGGTACATTTGAACAAGTGCGCGGTTAGTAAGACTTCTTTTAATCTGGTAGTTAAACCATGGTTTTCTGAATGGGAGATGGGTTAATTTTTACTTTGAATTGGAATCTGGTATTTAGCTGTGAATTTTAACTTGAGTTATGTTGTTCCAAACTTGCTGAAGCAGTAATTTTTGTCATATTTCTGCCGTTGTGGTTACCAAACCATGATTTGTGTAGTCTATCATCAGTGAGGAGTGGCACTCAGCACAGACCTTTTTTTTTTTTTTTTTTTCTCAACAAGCTTAAAAGCAACCTCATTAGTAAGTCAGGTAAAAAAGAGTAGTATATTTGAAACGATCTTTAAAAATTTAGGCTTAAGTCCTCAGTAATGTATATTTCCTAGTTCATTAATGCAGAAATACTGCACATAGATTTTAATCTCAGAGTTAATAATAAAAGCAATTTTCACTAAAAATATAAAAACTGTAGTGGTAGAATCATGATATTGCATTTAGCTCTCCCACAAAAAGTCACTTTATTACTTTCTTTTGACACTTATTTTCATTCTGGGATTAATTTTACTATATAAGGGCTTCTTAACTATTCTATTAAAATTTCCATTCAGAAGCAATAATATCTAAGAGTGAATAATAGTCATGTAAATCATTATTTCATATTAATGTAAAAGATTTTGTAAGTTCTTATGAATTCTGCTGACATGCACAATTGTGAAAAGGTTATCTCTACATTCTGCAGTGATATGCGCTGGAACAAAGGAACTATTTTAAAAGCATCAGTGGAGTACATCAAGTGGCTACAAAAAGAACAACAGAGAGCCAGAGAATTAGAACACAGACAGAAGAAATTAGAGCACGCTAACAGAAGACTTCTACTCCGAATTCAGGTCTGTATGAGGGAGTTGTCATGAACTTCAAAGCTTTCTCAGTATTCCTACCTCATCAAATTTTATTAATCTGTATCATTTTTTTTTCCCAAATGTCACTTACAGCAAAGGCATTTTCCCTGTTTATTGCGGTGTAGATTGAGGAAAGGATATATTTTCAGATTTCTAGGAAATGCCTGTGATCATTATACCTTACATAAAGGAATATGTGGAAAGTTAATAAAGTATGTGTACGAACAGTACATATTATGGACTAGGAAGGACAAAAAGGAAAGGAAAAGGTACATCTCTCGTGCCAAAAACACAATACTGGACTTAAAATTCCTTTCTGTGTTTTCATTTTCTTCTGTATTTCACATTAAAGTTTTTTAGGTATAGTGTGCAGTGTTGTATCTGCTCTTGACACAAATGAACATGATGTGGTGGTGGAAAAGCATATATGACTATGCAAACATGCAATGATGACTTAGCTAGACAAAAAAATCAGTCATCTTATGTATTGTAATTTACAGCTATGTATGTATATTGTGAGAAATGTGAAGTAAAATATCCTCTACATCTTTGGATAGCAGTGCACAAAAAGTTTGCAACAGTTTTCTGTCAGTTTTGTTAAGTAAAGAAGGCAATGATTTCAGAAAACCTCTCGTGCATCTTGCATTCCGGCAGGAGAGCTGTTTAATGGTGAAAATGGAATTAAAAGGAAAACTAACTGGTGGCTCAATGCAGATTTTCATAGATTAATAATTTTGTATTTTGCAACATAGTTTCACAGTTGGACAAGAAAAATCTTTAGTTTGCATGTATAGTCTGTATACTTATCATGGTAGTTCTGAAACATTATTTCTCTTCCAAAGTCATTATCTAATTATCCTTATTTATTTATTCGTTTATTTATTTGTTTGTTATTTATTTATTTAAACTTTAGGAACTAGAGATCCAGGCACGTGCGCATGGCCTTCCAGTCATGTCTTCACTCAGTGCAGTAGATTTAGCTGCTCAAGTCACCAAGCAACAGTCATATCCAGAGGAGAACTCTGTAGACTACTCTCATCAAATGCCTCTGGCTCGTGGACCAAATTCTGATGTTTGTGATGGATCTACAGCCTTTTCTGATCCACTTTCCCACTTCACCGATTTGTCCTTCAGCGCAGCTCTAAAAGAAGAGCAACGACTAGAGGAAATTTTATTGGATGACACAGTATCACCATTTGGAGCAGACCCTCTCTTGTCCTCCACATCCCCAGCTGCATCAAAAGAGAGCAGCAGGAGAAGCAGCTTTAGCACAGATGATGGAGACGATTTATAAAAGCAGAAAGGGCCTCGCGTTTCCTTGAACCACTTGCTAACAGACTGAGTTGAACATAAGCATGGTGTGTGTGCTTGTTCCAAATATGAATATGGAAAACCACTGTGAAGGTAACAGGCAAGGCTTAAATCAGCATTTACTTCACAGGAAAAGGAGATATACATGGATTCAGATCACTTTGCCCCAGATTCACATCATCTGTTCACAGCTGACATTTGCACAAATCTTTCTTCCCTGGAAACCTTTTTACTACTGTTCCACGACTTTTTATAGCGGTATGAAAATGCTTTCCACAAAAGGAATGTCTGTGTTACACAAATGTGTTCAGACTCTGTCTTCAATCTGCATTTACATTTATCTGTTATATATGTGCTGCTTAGTAATTTGCTATTTTTTTTATAACAATGAGAATATTGTGTTAAAAATTCTACAAAACATAAGAAACAGTAGGAGAATATGTAAACTGGGAACTATAGAGTGATACATGTTTTAAAATCTGAAAAAACAAATAGAAATTCATTTGCACAAGTGAAGTGAGCATGAATTTAAAACCACATAGATTTCCTGTAATGATACAGGAGAAAAATAGAAACTAACATAATCACAGAAACACAAAGAAATTCAAACAGAAAAAGGTGATGTTTCAGTAGAAAGTGTTTAGAAAGACTGTGGATGTACAAGACTGAACAAAGATATTCCACATTACCATCAGCACAATTTAAAACAAATACTACTGGTAAAAGTGCTGTGTCAGCTGCTTATTCCAAGAATAATCAAGCTGTATCCTTCTTGATGTGGAAGAGATAAGAATATGCAACAGTGTGCTTCTGGACTGTGCTTCCAGAGCTTTTTGGGAGCACATTAAGGTTTTTCTAAAGGGAGTCTGTCTTTTCCATAGCTATGCCTTTGCATTGTTTGTGAATAGAGAGAATTGGCCAGGTTTCCATTATACACATTGAAACAATGGTAATTCAATTTCAAATTTGCCTTTTCAATCACTATAGAAAAGCAAGTAAGACTTCAAATCAAAGGAAATATTTGGAAGACTTGATTTTCCTGGAGTACACTAAGTGCAGTCATTCTAATTGTAATATTAACACGCAGAAAATAAGCTCGTACAAGTTCTTCATTGCTCTTCCTCCACCAGCGTCAAAAGAGCATATTTGGGAGTTTTCTAATAATTCAAAATATATTTCAAACGTATGTGTTAAATTTTGCAGTCACTGAGCCCTGCTTAATTTCCCAGAAAATTCGCCTGATTAGAAACAAAGAAGAAAATGGAATGCTGTTTGTGTTAATGGTATAAATGTATTTGAACGTACTTTTCAAGAGCTAATCCTTTGCTTCCTCCTATTTCCTCTTCTGTTATTTGTACCTGAGGTCTAATTTATCCAGAGCCTTAGCCCATTCCTGACCAACCCATGGTTATGAAACATTATGGTGCGCCCAATTTCATGAGAGTCTGCATGCTTATAGGAAACTCGAGGATATCTGTTTGCCTCTGTAAACTATTTTGATGTAAGATGAACAGAGCAGAAGTAACTTCTTGTCAAGTATGTGTGGGTTCCCAAAAAGCCAGCACAAAACTGGTTCTGATACACTTCTACTGTATGATTAAGATTTTTTTTCATTTTTCATTTTTATTTTTATTTGTACATGGAGGAAAGGAATGGAAAAACAAAGTGATACTAACCAAAATTAATTGACCTCCAATAACTGGAGTGCTTCCTTAAATGACACTCAACAAAACTTGCTTTGTCATAGTTATGCTAAAGACAAGCTAAGTATTCATTGAAATTGGTGTTCATATAAAAAATGTGATGAATTGGAAGTAGAATTTGTGCCCACATTGTGTCTAGCTTAGGATGTGTATTGTCCATGTCAGCTAATGAAAGGAAAGGATACTTGATTGACATCAAATGCCATTTGTCCTTGTACTGCAGTTTCTGCTATATTGGTTTTAAATACACCAGTGCGGATTGCTCATAATGGAGAAAAAGAAATTAAAAATGAATGTATTACATGATTTTCCCATTGAACTTTTACATGGGAGGTAGACCACAGTTCTGAACTATGTTGACTTTAAATAACATCTTGAGTTTTATGACTATTATAAGGACTGTTCTAAAAAAGCATTATAGTTTTAACAAAACTTACAGTTTTAAAACATCCATTAAATGTTTTAAAGTTGATTTTCATTCTTCTGGCAGTTGCTTCAGTCTGAAGCACCAGATTTTTCTTTCTCTTCCAGCTTGAGAAACCTAGCAGGAGGTAGGAAATGCTCCTTCTGCAATTGCATTAAGCACACTCAAGCTGTCTTCATTCACACAGTTTCCAGCACCCTCCTCTCTGCAAAAGCTAAATGTATCCATGCCTGTGGGTGTGTATTATGATGATGATGTTTCACTACCATTACGCTGTTTTCTAGAAGGAAGTGGTCATTAGTGTTTTCCCTGTATTGTACCATCATCCTTGAAATGGTGATACAGGCTACCAAAAATGATACACCAGGGCACCACACGCTGAAGATATTGATGAGATCTTTGTGAGGGTAACTGTATCCCAGGTTGTTTTGAATAAGCATCCCCTCTCCCACTTCGATGTGGTGAGACTGCTGTGCAGCTGGGAAGGCTGCTGGAGGGCCAAGCGGAACACAGTGCCTTCTGGCTTGCGCAGAGGAAAAGGATTGCACGACTGCAGCAACAATCCCTGATGTCCCTCCTCAGGCAGAATTTCTCTCCTGTCCATGAGAGTTTTACTGGACTAAAATGTGGTGTGCGCAAAACACATTTTTAGCTCTTCCCCAAATCATACAGATCCGTTTAATGAAATCCCATGAAAGAGATGCATAATTTGTCCATGGCTCTGGGTCTAGAAAAGAATTTAAAGACGTACAGAGTTTGACCTCAAGCAGGGCAGGGGGTGAGGAGAGCTGGCTATTTTTGTCAAAATGTATTAAATGATAAATGATGAATTCTTGCTTGTTTTCAGTAGCAGCTGTTCAGAGCTGGTGGACACGTTCTTACAGAATACACAAACTAGCAGACTGATAATTACACAAAAGGAAAAGGGAGCTGAAATATTAACATCCTGTTTAATTCATGAAATGGATATGGATACTATCCTAAGAACAGAAACTTAGATTCTTTCACTGTGCATAGCATAGATGGTGTGAAAAGCTACAGCAAGTGCAAACGGTTTTAACAAACAGAATACAGTTGTTTTATGTAGTAAAGTAACTAAATATAATTCACTCATTTAATCTCAATAAGAACACTGTTACTGTAATACCTTTTGACTTTAATAGGGCTGTATATATGAATGGAGGATGTAAAATTATTGTAATTTAAAATTATGTTAAGTCTCTTAGATAAGTAAAGGCATTTACATTACTATTATGAGACTGTAGAATATTTTTATAATAATTGCTATTTTTCATTGTTAACCATATAGTATCTTGTTTTCTAAGTCAATGTATGCAGACAGAACGTACTTTATTACACGCTGTATATGCAATCTTTTTCAAATTGCATTTTATACAGGCTGGTATTTTATGTTTATTATATGAATACAATTAAAGGACTGAAATTAAAACATCTCTTTATATTTCCCTTGTGAAACTTCGCTACCCAGTCCCACAAAGAATGCCATCACAAGACAATATAATAACATCCTCTAAGAGCACCTGAGATACTGAACAGACAAAACACTTCACAACTGCTAAACATTTAGTCCATTATGATACATCATGATCCAGTAGCCTCCCATTAATAAAAATAATTGATACATTCTTTAATATGGTCTCCTGCCATCTGCTTATTCCTGCTGCTAAGGCTTTGATTTATGGAAAGTGTTTTCAGAATGTTGCGAAATTGCTAGCAGGCATGATGATATCAGTTAAATCACTAAGAAGCTCTACAAAAACCTTTTAATGTACTAGATGTTCCCCAGACAATCTAGGATAAACAGAATATTGTATTTTAAGATGTAAAACATTTTTTTAAAGCTGATAATTAGGTAGCATTTTGGCACTAAAAGATATTCTTTCTTATTGAATTGAGTAAGAATTTGGGTTGCTTTTTGAATTCCTAATATCAAAAGTGCTGCTTTCATTACAGTATCTTTGGTGCTTTCTGTGCATGGCATGATGCAAATACTGTTAAGTAGTAACATATACTTCAGCTACAGTTTTGTAATAGCTCATTTGTTTCTTGTATAATGGTGCTCATTGTTTGTGTACATCAGATAAACATTTTATTTGTAATAAAAATGCTCTCCAGAATCTTTATTTCACCAAATCAACGACATCCATATCAGCATTAAAACAGAATAATATCATAAATATTATTTAAAGTCCAGTGATTAGCCATTGAGGGAAGCTTTGCTTTTTTTCTACACATTTATTATGCACTTAGGATTTGATCATAAAAGATACTCAGTTCCTTGTGAGGGACTCAGTTCCTTTGTGAGGGACTGAGAGCCCTCAGTTCACTTTGAAGAAAGGCAACGCTCAGCCTGTTGCAGGATCAGATTCTTAATGGCTGAATAAACAGCATCAGAAAATAAAATCAGAAGTTATTTCAAAGATCAGAAAAGCACACTGCTTGATTAAAAGTAGTGATATTTGCAATTGAGAGACAAACAGATTTGATGTCAGCATCATTTGTGCTGACAGCCAATAAGAGATCAGAGAAAAATGTATGAAGTTGTGATAATTATCAGACCAGAAGTCTAATTATAAAGGACGCTACGGTAGTGAAGTATGCTAAGGCTTATTGGTTAAATCACTAGTACCCATCAAGTTAAATATATATCAATTTCATTAATTGGCAACCACAAGACAAGTGTTCTATATTCAGGGTGGTGATGATTTTGATATAATCCACCGCATTGTGGTTAAGTATATGATTCATGTAATAAGAAAAAGATGCCTCCAGGCTATTGTTCCTAGCATGGATTAAAATTTACATATTGCTTCTCCTTATGTCAAAACATCTGGTGCCTGCAAATGCTAACATTTCGTTTAAAAGTTTCACAAGATAGGAAAAGTGGATTGGAAACACTGCCTGTGAATCATTCAAGCATTATAATGGAATAAGAGGCTGAGTTATGAACAGGCAGATTGAACAATAGTATAGTCAAAGAGATTCATATGCTTATGAGTTTGATAGGCAACACTTTATACAAGGAGAGGAAATGCCCCAAATCATACAAAATAATGTTTGGAGGTATTTTTTTTTTTTTTTTTAATGTCATTGAAATAAATCATCTCAGTTCCTTTCCAAACTGCACTTTTTTTCCAAATAAAATCCATGTACGTAAGTGGATGTAGTTAGTGCTAAGATAATGGCTAATGCATTCATTTCATTTATGCATTTCAGTATGTTGGCATTCATTTTCCCTTCTGCCATGTAGTTTCATCAGAAAATTATATGACTCTTTACTTTTTCTATCTATAAATATACGTTACATCACTATATCAGGGAGTACATCAAGGTATATCTCAAAAAATTTGGATGATCAGCTATCCTAATGCTCTCAACTATGTGGAAAACCTGCCAGTCCTTGTACCAGCACTTAGACTTAAGATCTTTTTTCTGTTGATTTCTAGATAGGGTGTTGGGTATTAATTTTCAGGTATAAAAAAATAAATTTTCTGGTGCTAAATTACCTGAAAAGCCCCATCACAGACTGCTGAAATTAGTGGAAGCCCTCTGTATGAAAGGAGGCAATGAAGATAATATTTTCCATGAATATTTCCCAGAGTACTTTCCCCTACTGACATCCAAGGAATAGCTAGGAGTGCATGTCTGTTCAGTGCAGATGGTGGTGATACATTCTATTTATTTGCAGTGTTCTTGCCTTCAGTGTCCACATGATTCCAAATTATTTAAATTTAGTATTCCACATTTGGAAAAATTCGTTAGCTAAATATTTCACATTGCCTTCCAAGAACAGACTGAATTAAAGCAGATTAAAAAATAAAGCCAGATTTTCTTTTTCAATTCTTTGCTGCTCCTTTTGCCTGTTGATGGCACTGTGGTACACCTGAAGAGATGGAGAAGCAGACTTCTTCAGCGTGTTGTTTCTACTTCCTGGCGTCTCACACAGTCAGGCCAGTTCTTGGAGCAGCCTGTGATACTCCTGATCAATTTGTCTAACTTCTTCATTTGTGAAAGAATATTTTTTCTAGATGGATAAATGATGCCCAGTTTTCGTTGTTTATCGCTCAACTCCAGAGCAGCTTTAAAATCAGAGCAATACTTCGTTGGTGGAAGAATTTTCCCTTGTTCTTCCATTCAAAATTTTGAATTTGTCTTTTTATCAGTTAGTGGCACAGCCATATTTTCTCATCATTAAGGTGAGGAACCTCACCAAGAAAAGCTTCTGCATCATTCCAGAGCCACTAGGAAAATTAAACAAATACCTGGAATCATTGCAGAAATACCATTTCCACTGGAAAACGATTTCTACAGCTAATACACACAACCAGCTTGCTATAAAAACAAACCAACACAAAGCAATATGGTCTTACTGGGAGGTAAAGTAAGCATGGTCAGCAGTAAGCGCAGAACATAGAATCAACTTTTGCAATAAAAATTTAAGTAGTGTTGTCTCCATTTGGGAATTTACACTTTAAATTACACCCAGTTTGACTTTTTATTTATTTATTTATTTATTTTCCCCCAGTGGGTAAAAACAAGGGAAAACAAAGCTCAAGACAGCTAAATATAAGCTAAGGTGAAGACAGGGATTGTGGAAAACTAAAGAAGGTACATTCCTGATCCAAAAATATCACAAATGGATGCCAGTGCACTGAGGGAAGATCTCTCAAAGGCAAATTTCAACCTGAGAGACAGACAGGGGAACCCCTTCCTTCAGGGAAAGAAAAGATGTTATTTCTGTCTGTCTTCAGGCTATTCACAGCTTCCATGTTAAGCTAGGAGTGCTGCTCCTCGCCCACCTCTCTCACATCACTTCTTCTCTCCTCACCTTTTCAAACTGTGCTAGATTCTGGAGGACAGAGCACAGATATTCGTCCCTTCCTGCTTTGCTGATGTGTGAGGAGCATCAGCGACTTCTCCTCCTTGTCAGAGCCCAGCTACAGTCTCAGCCAAAGCTGATCAGTCAGTGGTTCAGCAGATTGGTAGCTGTGCAACAATGCCAGTGTACTACTAATACAATGTACTACTAATATGGTTATGTAAAATGTCAAAAATGCTATGTTACATGCCTTGATATTTAGTATTACCAAGCTTGGGAATAAAATAAACTTGTTTTTCCTGTAAGTTTTTCCAGTTCAGAGGAGCTAAACTAGTTCTGACGCTCATTATAGTGGAATCCAGTAGGAAATGGATGTCTGGTTCCCTTTTACACCTGAAACTCAAGGCCAGGTGGTTGTGAGCTCCAGGCACACTTTTTGGTGTTACCCATTTGTGAGTGCACACTGCTTGATTTTGACTGCCTTGCTGGTGAGGGCAGACTATTTCCATCAATGGTCTCCTGTTTGCTTTTTATGCTAAGAGTTTTTATACCTTTTCTCTTGCACCCAAAGCAAAAATTATCTTTTCCATATGCCTATAAAAATATGCATATTACTGCCTCATATAACAGCTTCATGTTCTATTTTGCTGGTATAGCAGAACGGAGGAGTAAGCACATTTTTTAGGAATACTTTCAAATATATTTCTACACCTCTGTCTCCTTCAAAGATGATTTTCTGAAGCAATGGTTTCTACAGAAGCAGTTCCTTGTGGCACTCTCTGTGTAGCATCTTTACTCCCCTACTGGCCCACTGAATTTGAGGAGGATGTGGAGGGGTGCCATATGTCACTTTTCCAGGCTTAGAGACCTGAGTTGCTTTTCTCCAGTATGGATCAACTTCATAAACATTGCTTTTCTGTTATAACAGTGGGGGACATCTGCCAGCAAGAGGCAGTGGAAATCCTATTCTCATTTAGCACAAGGTCCTATAGCTTCCTCATCTGTAAAATACAGAGATTCCTAGGTCTGCATAATAAATAATAATACACGTATGTGGTATATGATTCTAATGATGTAATTCAGCTTCAGGTTTTTACTGCCATTCATAAACTGCTTCAGCAGACTTCTTGTAATTTATGATATCAATAGAGCTCCTTAAATTACATCCTAGATTCTGCCATGTCTTGCCCTATGAAAGGAAAATGGCTTTGTATCCAATATCACTGCAAGAAGGAGAATGAACAAGAGTCAAGTGTCCTTTATTGAAGGCGAATATTGCCTTCACAGTGTGCAATATATGAGTATTGAGCGCTTGACAACAACTGCAGTAATCCTCAACTTAATTGTTTGCTTTGAAACTATGAGGAGTTTCCTAGCACTGGTTTAAAATGAGCTCGTAAGTGTCATGGGAAAGGTGAGGCCATCTTTCTCTGTGTTCTGCATTTTGAACCCACAGCTTCTAACTCAGAGAATGTCAGGGAGAAAACAGCAGCTGCAAAATGTTGGCATCCTCAGTCTGGCTAAGGATCCTCTTCCTCTTGCCTAGGGTTGGCTGCCATGCCACGATCTGCTGGGGGAGAGCTGAAAGCCCTGACTGAAAGGATTGTTCCTGAGGTCCATGGAGCCCAGGGCAGGGAATTACTCTTGGCAGGAGTCTGAATCCATGATGGCAGTTCTAAATATTTCCAGACATGACCCAGGTAGAAATTGTCTTTTCTGTCTTTGTTAGGAAAGGGGATAAATCCCTGTGCACCACTAGGGAATGGATTGCAGCATGATAGACTATTGTCTCTGCAGGTTTTTTTCCCCTTTATTTGTCCTCCTAAAATGAGGGGTGGAATAGGAATTCTTCAAAAGTAAGTGGAGACAAATGGCCAATTTAGCACTGAGTTATTCTAATTCAGGTGCTTTCTTCCTCTGCAATGCATAAGCCATTCTTAAGCGGAGGAGTCCTGGGGGTAGTGGCTTCAGGGGATCCATCATTGCCGTGACTCCATCAAAGCCCTTCAGGGGACAGGAGGTGGTGTGGAGGCTCTGAACCTCACTGGGAGACAGCTGCTGTAGTTTCCCATCACATTAATACTTTTATTCCTGCCTAGGGAATGATCTACTACTGCTAAAAATCAACAGAAAAGAAAGTTGCATAGAAGCAACTTTTGCAGAACCAGACACACTTCTGACTGTACAACAGTAAGCACATTATTTGTTAGGTTTCAGCAGTAAAAGCCATTTGTG